GCATTCCTGGACATGGTACAGAAAGTCCAGGAAAGACTAGACATAGGAAAGGCAGGGTCCACATTCAGCTTCAGAAATCTGGAAATAAGCCTACAGAGAGCGGGGAAGATGTGTTCTGATACCGAGGGCCTAGAGTCAGTTCTCACCTGACATCTGCCTACCGTTCCAGTCCCAGGTGTCTCAGCAGCCTCAGCCCCACTGAGGACACTGACCCTGCATTTGTTTAGAAACCAACCAAGTGGAGGTGATATAGTAATGCAACCAAACCCACATGGGGAAGGTCCTGGGTTTGCATCCTAAAGACCTCCCTAATCATACTGTACAGGTGCCTATGATCTAGGCTAGCTAAGGGGGTGCCCTACAGTGTAGAGACCCTGTTGGAGGTGCTTATTTTTTATTTTGGAGAGGTTTTTGCTATAGAGCACATGTGTTCACCAGAAAGACAGAGAGAGACAGAAAGCGAGAAATCCCCCCCCAGGGGGGATGGCCACACCGCAATCCCTTCTCCTCCATTCTGTTGGGATCTTGGGCACACATGCACACATGCCCAGTGAGTATGAGCCACCGGGTCCAGGACTTGAACCACAGTCAGCTACATGGAAGTTCAGTGACACAGCCATTACACTAACTGCTGGTCCCGAGGTGCTCTTTCTGAAGAAATAAATTAAACTATTAAAAAGTATTTTAAGGCTCCAGCAGGTAACATGGTAGTTAAAAAAGTACTGAACTCCCACACGGCTGTTTTGAATCCCAGACCTAGCAGCTTGCTTTCTCACTGCCCCCATACCCCGTCTCTCTGATCAAATTTTTAAAAATGATGAGTAAAGTTAAATCACCCTCCCCCAGGGGGATGGCCACAATACAATCCTTTTCCTCCATTCTCCTCCTGGGATCTTGGGTACACACATACACACACGCAACACGAGTTTCAAGCCACCGAGTCCTAGACTTGAACCACAGTCAACTACATGGGATCCTAGTGACGTAACCATTATACCATCTGCTGGTCCCAATTAATAATTTTTAAAAATAAATAAAAAGTATTTTAAAGAGTGAGCAGGTGGCATGGAGTTAAGGTGCTGAATCTCATGTGACCAACTATGCAGTCTGGACCCAAAGGCTTGAAAAATCATATCAGGCAAATGTGCATGTGTGTCCAAAATCCAGAGAAGACTGGAGAAGGGACTGTGGAGTGGCCGTCCCCTCTGAGGGGTGATTTCTCACTTTCCCTTCTGTCTGTCACGTTTCTGATGAGCACTAGCACCATATAAAACTTAAAAAAAAAAAAAAAAAGAGGCTGGAACAGTAGCCTGGTGGATGAACTGGCAGAATGCCACATGACTGACTGTACAGTTCGAGTCCTGGATCTAGCAGCTTGAAAAACAAGCCAAGTACATGTGTGTGCATCCCCAAAATCCCCTAAGGAGAGAAACAGTTTAAGGGATTGTAGTATGACCATGCCCCATGGTTAGTGCTTCCTCACTTTTTCTCTGGCAAATGCATGTATCTCTGGCATAAAAGGAATAGGGGCCAGCAGGTGGTGTGGTGGTTGGGTGCTGGACTCCCACATGGCTAACTGTGGTTCGAGTCTAGGACCTGGTGGTTTGCTTTCTCACTTTCCCTTTCTCTCTCTCTCACTGGTCAAATTAAAAAATAAATAACAATAAAATAAAATAAATAATTATTTTTTTAAAAAGGGGGGGGAACAAACCAAGTCACCTGAGCAAAAAGACACAAAAGAGCAATGACATATGTGTTCCTCAAAGGGTGGGAGCTGGCATTCTTCCAGACACCGGCAGTATTGCACGTGCATCATCACTGCTAAGGAGGCACCTCCAGAAACCACTCGGAATCACTGAGGAAGGGCTTTTAGGGATGGAGGAACAGCAAACTCCCCAAGTCAAGATAGTGAACTGGGGGGGGGGGGGGGAGGCGGGCGGCGCTGCGAGTGCTGTACTCCCAGTCTCAGTTGGCCTGGTTGTGATCATGGTTGACCACAGTTTGAGTCCCAGACCTGGCAGCGTGCTCTTTCTCTAGTCAAATTAAGAAATAATAACAAGGGACCAGTAGTTGACGTAATGGCTGTCGCTGGAGTCCCATGTAGTCCACCGTGGTTCAAGTCCTGGACCCGGTGGCTTAAACTCATGCCAGGCACGTGAGAGGAGAATGGAGAAGAGATTGTGGCATGGCCATCCCCCTTGGGCGGTGATTTCTTGCTTTCTGTCTCTGTTTTTCTCTGTCTTTCTGATGAGCACAAGTACCCTATAGCAAAAAACCTCTCCAAATAAATAAATAAATAAATAATTTGTTTAAAAAAAAAAAAAAAAAAAGTCAATTTGAGAGCCACTGGGTGACACAGTGAGAACACAGCTGGACCCTAGTAACAAGGGTCCTAGATACTCATCCCAGGACCTCCCTGATCACCACCAGGCCAGCTGAAACTAGAAGTGGATTGTGGCATGAGGGTCTTCTTGGGGTGATTGTCTGATGGAAATAAACTTTTAAAAAGTAGGGGGAAGGGACCACCAGGTGGCGTGGTGGTTAAGGTGCTGGAATATTCCCACATAGCCGACCATGGTTCAAGTCCCGGGCCTGGTGGCTTGTTTCTCTCTCTATCTCTCTCTCTTGCAAATTAAAATAAATGAATAAATGAAATTAAATAAAATAATTCCTTAAAAAAAAAAAAAACGTAGAGGAAGATATTTTAAGACCAATCAGGGATGGTGTGGTGGTTAAGGACATTGGACTCCCACATGGCTGATCATGGTTCAAGTCCTGGACCTGGTGGCTTGCTTTCTCACCTTCCCTCTCTGTCACTCTTTGGTCAAATTAAAATAAATAAAATTAAATAAAATAATTCTTAAAAAATAAAATCAGTCCATCAGCATTCTCTGAAAGAGAGAGAGAAGGAAAGGGACTCTGGAGTTGACATTTTGAAAAAAGGGGGGACAAAATAGTACAAAGTACCTCACCCCAACCAGGAAGGGCAACAAGTATTTCAGAAATGGCTAGAAAGCAAGGACGATGAACAGGGAAGGTTAGCCCATAGAGAAATGCACAGACACAGACACAAATACAGCCTCTGAGCCTGCACAACCAAGGGAGCTGGAGGGGACGAGCACGAAAGGCTGCCAATGACAGCAGGATTTGTTTCCGTAAGAAGCCAGAAACCATTTAAATATAGGAGAGCACACAAGGAGTACGGCTGCGGTGCACACACCTGACACAGGACAGTCAGCCCGTGCAAGGACATGTGGCCAGCCAGGCGTTCTACACACCCCCACCCAGTACCATCCTCAGGTGAAGAGGAAGAGCCCAGGCAGAGGCACGATGAATTTCTAAAGCAAGGTTTAAATAGACTTTATTGTTATAAGGGGACCCTACCGAGCAGGGCCAATATATGTGGTCCCAGGATGTCGCCATGGAGACACCGAGAGGTCATGGTTGCAGAAGAGGTGACTGGAATTGAACGACATGATCCAAGGGAGACCAGCCAGGAATGCAGCAGACATGATCAAGATGGGCTGGCAGGGAGGTGGTCCGGACACAGGGAGAGGGAGAGGATGGCCCCCTCATTCCCGCTTCTTGTAGCTCTCCAGGTGTGACAGGACCCAGCCCGATGGCAGGAGGAAACACAGGAAGCAGGAAGTGAGCCCAATGGCAAGATCCTACAGAGAACAAAAAAGGAACCCCCAGAGTAAGAACTTCCTCAGGCTCTCCAAAGTCTAGCAGCTCCCAGCAGCAGAAGGCTCCCCTCAAAGGACTTGCAGTTAGCCTAATGGCTATGTGGCTAGACTCCCATGTAGTCGACCGCGGTTTGAGTCCCGGATCCGGGGCTTAAACTCACGCTGGGCGCGTGTGCATACGAGAACGGAGAAGGGATTGCGGCGTGGCCATCCCCCCTGGGGGTGATTTCTCGCTTTCTGTCTCTGTCTGGCGAGTGCACGCCTATAGCAAAAAAAAAAACCTCTCCAAAAAAAAGGAGGGAGACTCAAGGGCAGACGGAGGAACATCCCTATATTAAAGAAAACCAGGCGTCCTGGACCCAGTGGCTTAAAACACTTGCTGGGTGCATGTGCATGCATGCCCAAGATCCCGAGAGGAGAATGGAGGAGAAGGAATTGCAGCATGGCCATCCCCCGTGGAGGGTGATTTCTTGCTTTCTGTCTC